CTATTGCTTAGATTAAAAAAAGTAAATAAAAATTTATTTTTGTTTTTATAAAATGTTTTTTTTTTAGTTTTTGTTGTATATATCAAAAATTATATATGGTGTTAAACACCATAAATGCATTTTATCTTAATTAAATTTTATATATTAATCAGATCTAAACGAAAGCAAAAAATATAAACAATCTATCTAATATCATTCTAACCCAAACTAATTATAAGAAAAATCATATTTATATGTAAAATTTTATGTTAAACACTTTTACTTGGAAGTTAAAAGATTATTATCTTAGTAAAATTTTAAAATATCATAAAGATATCTATCTTTTGATATCTAAGCAAAAATGTAAGTACGAAATTTTGCAAGATTTTTTTCTTTTAAAATCACATAAATAATTACTAAAATTGATAATTTTCTGCTAATTGATCAAATACAATCGAGATGCGATACTTAACCTCGCACCATGCGAGATTTAAATTTATTCTTTTTTATAAACTTGTAAATTAAAGTTTTTTGAATTTTTCATATTAACACAATATGTTTTATTCAGAAGTGACAATATCTATTAATAATATGCTATAAAATCTATTCATAACAAATATACAAACATTAATCTTAAAATATTATAGTGTTAGTACTGAATAATAAGAATTTTATATATAAAACTAAAATTAACAGATTTACCTTACAAAATAAATAATAGTAATTAAGCTTGTCTTCCTTTAGTTTCAATTGGTAATAATACCATACAAATGCCAGATAATGCAAAAAGAAATGAAGATAAATAAAAAGCTATAGAAATATTGATAGAAAGTAGCAATCCCGTAACTAACGGAGCAATGATACCGGCACTATTACAAAAAAAAAAGTATTAACATCAAATTAAAAAAAAAAATTATAAGTATGAAGGGATAAATTACATTCTTCCAAGCGCAGAACTAATTCCACATGCAGTACCTCTTAGTCTAACTTCAAATACCTCAGGTGTGTAGGCGTATATTACAGAATAATTAAGAGTTGCCAAAAAATTGAACATTGCAGAAGAAATGACTTCAGCAGTATGCGAACTGACAGCAGAAAACAAGAATACTGCCAAAGAAGTTCCGAAAGTCGCTAGAGCCATACTACCCTTGCGACCTAATATAGTTTCAATAAGGAAAGATC